TTCTATTCTATATTATTTATATCATTGACCTTCCACTTTCCCACTATATTAAGAGTATGTACTCTTAATATTTAAATGTTTTCATCAAATATAACACATTCAAAAGTGCTTTACAAAAATGAAAGACATTAAGAAAAAGGCATTTTAAAACAGTCAATAAAAAGCAACACAATCTACCTGCATTGCATTACTCTAAACATGTAATAACGTGCTTTAACCAGTAGGAGGTGCGGATTAAAAAGCTGTCAAGTTTACAGTGTTAACAAAATAAAATATACTGCTGTTTCTGGTTTAGTTTACGACGGATATATTCTGTTATTGTTTTGATATTTGTAACACAAAAGCGATGTAAAAAACCCACAGCAACACAGAAAAGATGGTCTTAACATGACCCAGCGGTCTAGTAGTTAATAAAAAACAATAATATCAAAACAAATTATTACTACTAACTTTATTGTGAAATTAAAATAGAACGGTAAAAGAATAGTTTCCGGTCCATTCTGAGGCCCGATCTCTGCAGATAAATAAAGAACTACGACAGATGTGTAATGTTTAATGCAGCCAAACCATTCATTACAATGCATTCATGTGATGACTTTCAAAGAGTAAAGCAAGCACTGCTGAATAAAGTATGATTTGATCTTTGACGAAACGTTTTTTTCATTGGAATGCAGTTGGAGGTCAACCAATCACAGAGCTTGAGGCAAAGCGGAACAATAGCTGAGGATTCTGGGTAGTGTAGTGTCTTCTACCATCCACAGACTCCGAAAACATATTCGTTTCTCCGAATCGAAAGGGGAAAATCCAAAAGCATTGTACACAATTTAAACCAATCAATGTTGTGTAATTAACAAGGATAATCTGGTGTTTTTGAGTTGATGAGTAGTGCAGATATCACTGTAAATAAAATCAATGGACAGTAAGGAGAATACTTACTTCCGGGTGTAAAATGCTCTGTTATCCAATGGGAATGGACGCTCAGCTCTTTGGGTCCGTAATACAATAAAGGGTACTTAATCAAATAGGAATATAATTATCTTTTAAATAACGTTAACTAAAGGGAACAATCTCTTTGACACAGCTGAAGCTCTGGCTTAAAAACGAACTAATTTAATAAAAATCACAGTTGTATTACACACAATGCATTGTTTTTTGAGAACAAACATTGGTGAATAATGCACCATAATACATTCTGACGAAAAATAAAAATTATTATGAATACAAATAAAATAAAAGAAGCCTCCTGTGAGTTACTACAAGCTATACATTAGATTTTAAAAACGTTTTATAGAATAAAAGCTCACTGCTGGACGTTGTAGAAATGCGTGTGTGCACCACAACAAAGGAGCCTCATTCACTTTACATTGGCGTTGTTTGCGTGGTGCAGACACGTAAATGTAGCAAAGTTCGTGACTCCACCACGCAATGCAGTGTTAAGGAGTCGTGGTGGAGTCACGCATTCTGGTGAGATCAGGTTGGACAATGCGTTTCTTAATTTAGCATCACATTGGATATGGGCTGAACTTGTGCTGGATTGGAATTTTTCCGATCATTTCCCTACGACAATAGTTTGCAAAAACGCGCCTAAAACGCACATTTTCCAAAATGGCCGACTTTATGGGGGGAGGGGCTAATGGAAGCCATTTTGAAATATGTCGGCAATTCCATGAGGCATGTCTGTGCCAAGACTCGGGTCGCTCAAAGAAAGTATATGTGACTACCGCACAATAGGGGGCGCTACTGAGCCGTATTTGCAAAAACGCACGATGTTTTTGGACAGTCTGGAGGAGGCCGTGGGCTGTGACGTGGGTTCCGAGTTTAAAGGCCGTAACTGTATTTTCCCGCTACTTATGGGTCGGTAAGTGTTTTTAACCCTTCGATTTCGACATAAAGCTGAATAGGTCACGCCCACTTCCGTCATTGGTTGCATATATTTATTTCGTCTATCGGATCTTCAGGTATAAATTTGTTGTGCTTTTGGCGCCCCCTATTGTCCGAAATGAACATGCTTTTTTGTGCCTATTCCCCAAGACAGACAGAACCTTTCCACCGAAATCTGTGATATTTGGATACATTGCGGATGAATTAGGAGCATTTATGTGTAAGCCACACCTTTTTGCTAATACGTTGCGATTGATGTCGGGCACATTTTTCAACACGTCGTGCTCATGTTCTACGGTAGTGTGTGTGACCCTCCACTGATGCTGTACACTAAGTTTGGTGTTGAAAAGCAAAAAATTGAAATTTAAATTAATATTTCACTGTTTTTCACATTATGCTAATTTAAAAAAAATCAAAGTAGGCGGAGCTTAGGGATATGAGAGGATAATATGTAGGGCTGCTCCGCCCGGATACGTGTGCAAAATTTCAGGTCCATCCGAGTTACGCGGCGACTATGTACATTTTTCTAAAACTGAATTTTCACAGGTGGCGCTAGAGAGCATGTCGGAAATTTTGCAACCATCGAATCCAGAATGTAAACATTTTCACCCGTCCTGGCGGCGTTGCCAAATGTCGCTACGTGAACAGTGTTGGGAACCCCCTCAAAAACAGCTTTAAACTGCAGAGCTATGAAAAAAATAATAATAATACCAAGGATTTCAATAGGTCTTCGCACACTTCGTGCTCAGGCCCTAATTAGATTAAACTCACCATCTAAAGGTATTTTTGTGAGTCATACTATCAAATCAGGTTTTATTTATATAGCACATTTAAAAGCGATTTTTGGTCGAGCCAAAGTGCTGTACATGTAATAAAAACACATTACTACAATCACAATAAACGACAATAAATTACAACAGATATATATAAAAAACAAAATAAAAATAAAAAACACAAGGAAAAGTCAGGAGTCGTGCTCCGCTCTAACTAGAAAGCCAGAGAGAAGAAGAGTGTTTTTAGTGTAGATTTAAAAACCCCTAGGGTTTAGTCAAAAAACCACATTAGTCAAAAGACTCCGTAAGCTGTGGATAAAAACTTCGAAGGACAAGCACAGGATTCGTGCGGATTTCAGCTCTGCTTTGGAAACAGCGATCGGACGTTCTAAAGTGCCGTGAGGAGGAGGCCGTGAGTAAACCATGCCGGCCCGGAATCTATGAATGAAACGCTGTTTACAATGGGATCGCTTCATCAAACAATGCAAGGACTGATGTGTGCATAGTTACGGATGTTTGACAAAACGAAAGGGAAATCCATCCAGTGATATCATGATGCTTACTGGGGATGATATGAAATGAAGATAATCCACAATTGCTGTTGGAATGCTTAAACAATGAAATGCATTAATGAACTATCACGCAGTTAAGGAAGCGGACGTTAAAGGAATGTTTGGCACAAAAACAGGATTCACGAAGAACTGTTCTTGGAAATATTAATGACTTTATTTCATGTGGATTAATTGAAGAAAAAACAAACAAAAATAAACAATGGATCCTGATATTCCTCCAGCTGATGTTGCAGCGGCAGAGGAGAGATTTAAAACTCTCAGCCAATCGCGAAGAGGAAAACTTGGAGCATGCACCCGCAGAATGAATGAAATTAAACCATTACTGGTGCAAGGTGGAAATATGGAAAAGGTGGATGAAGCTGTTGCAACATTCAAGATGTTACTCAATGAATTGATTGAGTGTCATGGACATGTTCAAATGCTTTTATCTGAGGAAATAAGGGAAACTGAGAGAATGGATTGGTATGAACCAAAAATGTCTGCATTCACAAATTTCCTTAAGGATGTGGAAATGTGGAAAAGCTCTCAAATGGATCCTCAGATACTGATTGAACCCCATGACAGTGTTTCCAATGCATCACACAGGAGGAGCTCAAAAGCAGGATCAACAACTTCTTCTGCTTCCTCAACCCACCTCAAAATAGCCACAGAAAGAGCTCCCTGCCCGGGCAGCAGGATTAAAGGAAAAGCATGCACTTGAAATGGAAAAGGCTCAACTGCAAGCTAGATTCGAACGGATGGAAATGGAAGCCAGCCTAGCTGAATCTGATGCAAAAATGAAAGTTCTGGAGCATTTTGAGACTGGTTCACAAAATCCAACACAAGACGGCATGCATGACTATGTAAAAGACTACAGAGTAAAACCACATATGTCAATGGATGCAGAGCCGTGTCCAATTACCTTTGCTGAGTTTGGAGCCATTCCCAAAACACCACTTCAAAGGCTTCTATACCAACAACCAAGACCACCAGAAAATATTGATAATACAAACCAAAGCCCTCAACACACAGCTAGAGATGCAGGAATTACAGGGACAAATAATAATGACAATTTCCTGACTGTGATGCAGAGACTAAATGACATTGTTAATTTACTTGTACTTCAACAAAAGCAAACATCACTGCCCACTAGGGAAATCCCAGTCTTTGATGGCAATCCCCTGAATTATCAAATATTTGTGAGGGCATTTCAACATGGCATTGAGGAGAAAACCACCAGTAACCAGGATCGATTATATTACCTGGAGCAATATACTTTGGGATCCTGCAGGGAACTGGTGAGAAGCTGCCTTCATATGGATGCTAATAGTGGCTTTGCTGAAGCTAAGAGACTGCTAAAAGTGCATTTTGGAGATGAGCTCAAGATAGCAAACGCATATATGGGGAAAGCTCTCAACTGGAACACTATAAAGGCAGAGGATGGAAAGTCACTGCACTGTTATGCACTTTTTCTGAGAGGCTGCTGTAATGCAATGAGGGATCTGCAGGACATGGAGGAGCTGGACCTGCCATCCAACCTATCATTCTTTCAAAGCTACCTTACAAACTAAGGGAGAAGTGGAGAACAGCAGCTTGTGATATTCTGGAGCGGAGCCATCAAAGAGCAAAATTGCATGACCTTGTTGTATTTATTGAAAGACAAGCTAGAATACTTCAAGACCCTCTCTTTGGTGACATTCACGATCATCAACTTAACAGTGCAAAGACTTTCATTACAACTCCTGCTGATTTAAGCCGAAATAAGTGCAAGGGAAGCAGTTTTGATACCACAGTGGCTATAGTGTCAGACAGCCATGCAGAGAAACCCAAAGAAGACAATTATCTTGTTAAAAGCTACATTTCCTCCACTAACAATGACACCTCCATAGACTGTATATATAAATGGACGTAGGGTCCGTGACGTCACCCATAGGATTCTGCAGAGTTGCCGAGAAGCCCTTAGTAGGCGGAGTCGGCCACTAACGGCTCGACAGTGACGTCTGAGTCTAACTCCCGCCTGCTCCAAATAAGGGCAAAGAGGCGGAGCCGAGGCGGGACCTGCTGCCTCCAGCTGGGAAGTAACAGAGCTAGCTCAAGCTAAGAAGCTAAGCTAACATGCTTCCCCATCTGCACACTGCCGTCACATTTTACGTTTCTAAGGTAAGCGGACATGAAACTATTCAGCAAAACTATAAATAATAATCTAAGTTATTGAGTTTTTAGCATAATACTTCAGAATCTTAAAATCCCTTAACGTTTGTATGCAATGTGCTAAATGCAACACTGGAATCAAGCAAATGAATATGTTTGCATGACATTAGTTATTTATATTTTGCTATCACTTAATTATACGTTTAATACATTTAAGTCAAGCTAAGGTACAGTACATGTGATGGTAGCTAGTTAGTGCTCTTACCTGTGAGGCCTCCTCCAAACCGCATTATAACCAGACTGTATCATTAAAACTACAAGTACCAGTTCTAGATCCTTGACTTTAGACAAACAATTCAAAAGACAAAATGTATTTAAAGACCAATCTTTATTTGAAGGTGCCTCTTAACCTGGGATATTAGTTATACAGTAATATTATTGACAATCTAAAAACACTGAGCAACTCAACAGTCAACTTTATATTTCTTATTGACTAAAGCATTTATTATTTTCATTTTCCCCCACTCATATTCAGTGTGGACGGATTGAGACAGCGTGGTGTCCAGAGAGCTGCAGAGACTTCAGGGAGAAACCTCTTTGTGATGGACGTCCAGTCTGTTGGTTTGGAGAGGACTGAGGGTCTTTCCTCTGCGAGGAGGACCAGGCCTGATGGAGGAGCCCATGCTGGGCATAGCTGATACCAACTGCACAGGCCTTGTCTGTCACTTTATTTGACTAAATGTGTTTACTTATACATTTAATAGGTTTACACCTTCTGTCCATATGTGCTTTTTTATTTAAAACATGTTTGATTAACTTTTGGTTCAGATTTCAATAAATTGAATTTGTATTTGCACTCCTTTTGTCCATTATTCTTACTGAAAATGTTAGATTACACATTCACATCCGACTGAAGATTGGCCCCATTTATTTGTGACGTTGCAAACTCTGCGGTACAAGGTACATGTTGTGAAGCTCATAAAGTGAGGCAAATAGAAATAATCAGCTGATGGAGTGTAGATGTGGAAATAGGTGCATTCGATCAGCTGACTTCACAATAAAAGTAGTTTCTTAGTGAATGTCCTGTACTGGTCTTAAAATCTCATAACATCAGCTTTTAATTTTCCTCTTGGATGTTCTTCTTGACCCTCAGAGAAGGAGAAAATGTTGAGTCGTGTCTTTCAGGCATGTCCTTCCCTAACAAAAATTACAGGAAACATAAAACATATTATTGCAGAACAAGTGTGTTATTTATGAAAGAGGTGTGCTTGTGTTTAGGGGCTGTAGATATAATTATTTTGTAATTGTAATGTTTTATTTTATTTCAACGGTGAGCTACAAAGACAATCAGATTATGAATGAACAGTATGAAATTCATCAACATTGAAATATATTTTATTATCAAAATAATATTTAACTGTTATCAAAACTTAGTGCAACTGTAGAAGCTTGCTCTGTTCTCTCACTGAAATCATAACTTTTACCACGTTTTTTTACAGACAATATTGAGAGATAAATAGCAGTTGTCACTAATAGCTTTGCCTTCAATACCTTAAATTAGAAAGCTGACAAAGTAATATTGCTTGTTAACATGTAACCCTTTGCATGGAAAAAACCCTCAACTTCACTGATGTGTAGGTGATCTAGTATTTAGTATTGTTTAATGGAATGTATATCAGTGTATTAAAGTCAATACTTCATTTATTTAAACCAATATCTTTCTTGATTCTTTGTACAGTATGAAAAAAGAGTATTTGTACCTGTGCTGAAGTTCACTGCTGTGAGGAGTCCAGTTCTGTCTCTCACTCTCTGGTCCATCCTGTTTGCATCACCTGGAAACTTTAAACAAACAGATATATATGTAAAGAACCATGTGTACAAACAATATAACTTATTCTCTTCTGTTGAACATGTTGGATTGTGTATTGTCCGAGTCAGGGTCCTTTTTATTTTACTGTAACTTTGGAAGTTGTGTTACCAATGCTTACTGTTTATTTGATACCAATTTGGTAATGCAATTAATAAAAACAACAACGTTTGGGTTCGTTCTTCAGATGACTGTGACGTTAACGTGTAAACTCAATAATGAACTCCAGCTCAACCAACCATATTGTAATATCTAAGTAATCATCTTGAAATATGACATTAATAATTGTAATATACACACATCTTATTGTGAGGTTGATTTCACATACACTACTTCGACGTTAGCTTGTCTACATACTTGAGCATAGCCAATTTAAATTAACCTTAGCAATGCATACAGTTCCTACCTACATAATAAAATATCTCTCTAAGTTACAAGGATGACCTTATTTTATCAACCTCAAACAGAAGCCTTTTGTTCTACAGTACTATCTCACTTAACGCTTAACACTTGTCTATTTCGTTTTAACCTTTATATATACAATCTATGGTTTTAAGTTAACTTGGAGGATACGATTAGCATCGTTAGCACCGATGTAGCTACCACTCGCTTACACGCTAACCCAAGCCTTAACATTCATTACGTAGCTGATTGAAATCATAAACACATAAATAAAGTACTCGAATTTCACTTACCGCAAAACGGCATTCATGCACCGTCTGTTTTAACCGCAGAGCGAGTCACAATAGTCCGATATATAAGCATGAAGAACAAACAAACACGGCCGGGGTCAAGTTGTGTTCCCTGGATGAACTGGGCAGGCAGAGTCCCTGTAGCTTCACGGACGGAGCAGCTAGCAGAGAGACAAGAAGCTAACAGCAGCAGTCACCTGACAGAGCTGTCACTCAATGTGACCACGCCCTAATTTATGCAAAAACTTTAAGACCTAATATAAATAAAAGGGTCATGTTAGAAAACAATTCACTCACAGATTCATAATCATGAAGGTGGAATCTAACTATATCTATAATAATATTTATTGGATCCATGGGTAGAAACATGTTTTTTTAGGCTGTAAAATTGGACATTTTAACATGGGACTATGGAAATTGCTCCTTTCTGCAGTCAGCGCCTATCGGCCAATATATGAACTGCAGTTTGTGGCACTTCCGTATTGGCGTCCCGGCTCTTCCCCAGAGTTTGCCGCTTGGACACCTCATGTACCTTTTGTACCAGCATGCATCCTTTAGCTGAATGCCATACAATACATTCAATATCTCATGAAGCTAAAATTGAGTTTCTGAAAGAGAAAGGACTATGCTTTGGCTGCCTGAAGGTGGGGCACTTGAGCAGGAACTGTAACAGGAGAATGACCTGTCAAATCTGTCATGCTAGACACCCAACTATTCTGCACATTAAAAGATCTTCTAAGCCTGAAACTGAGAACTTTAAACATGATAAGACAGAGCAGAAGAGTGGAGGAGCAAGGCCTGAAGAGACATCCATCAGCAGTGCTCTTGTTTCAGTAGGAGAAGGTGAAGGAATCGGGGCTGGTAAAGACAGCATACTTGCCATAGTGCCAGTGAAGGTGAAACTCTGACATGGAAATAAAAGTATACTGACCTATGCATTCCTGGACCCTGGTAGTACCGACACATTTTGCACAGAGGGGCTCATGAGGCAGCTTGGTGCTAGAGGACGGAGAACTGAAGTCCTTCTTCAAACGATGGGAACAGAGAAAACAGTCAGGAGTTTTGAGGTAACGGGTCTAGAAGTGGGCAATGTGGAAGATGGCACATATATAAAGTTGCCCAAGGTTTACACTCAGAACAAAATCCGTTACCAAAAGAAACATTCTTACCCAGGCGGACCTCAAGAAATGGCCTTATCTGCAGGAAATCCAAATAAAAGAATTAGATGCTGACGTGGGACTTCTTATTGGAGTAAATACTCCAAAGGCTATGGAACCATGGAAAGTTATAAATACCCAAGGAAACGGCCCATATGCAGTGAAAACACTGTTAGGATGGGTCGTTAATGGTCCACCTAATGCTTCCACAGATCCGGATGATGAAACCCCTGTGGCAGTAGTGAACAGGACCTCAATTGTTCACCTTGAGAAGCTTAATGAAAGACAATATATTAATGACTTTCCAGAAAACGAGTATGAAGAGGAAAGACAAATGTCAGCTGATGACCGAAAGCTCCTGCAGAGGAGAGAAAAGAGGAAAGATTGCTCCACTGATCTTGGAGTAAAGCAGGATAAAGGAAAGCGACTGAAGGATCAGATGCTTCTGCTCAAAAGGCCTACAGCTAATGCACTAAGACTTTCAGTAGAGGACACGGAAAATGCTGAAAAGGCCATTATTTGCCACGAGCAGAGACAGCATTTCAAAGAGGATTTTGCCTTGCTGGAAAAAGCCAAACAGTGCAATAGAGGAAGCTCCCTATACAAGCTGGACTCTATCATTGATGCTGGGATTCTGAGAGTTGGAGGAAGAACTACAAATGGCGCGTTTCCACTACAGCCCGCAGCCCGGTTTAAGAGGGCTGTGACGTCAGCGGCCCGTTTGTGGTTGCGTTTCCACTTGGCCTAGTACCGGCCGGCGGGTCCTAATTCACAGTTTTTCTGGCCTCATAAAATCGTGGGGCCAGGGCCAAAGACAACCGGGCTGAGTTTGTGACGTCAACGCTCTCGGCTGCTGATTGGTCGGAGAGAATCGTCACAATCTGCGCGCGAGTTAATCCATTTTTACAAACAGCATTTTTGTTAACAGAGGAGCTACAACAATGGCAAAGAAAAGCACACCATGGTCGGTCGAGGAAGTGACGACGTCCATTATATTGCAGATGATAAGGTCCAGCGGGTGCTCGACGGGACAACTCGCAATATCAAAGTCTTTCAGGAGGTCTCTACACAGACACTGGACTCTCCAACGGCGTTACTGGAGTCTGCATGGTACGTTTTTGCTAACGCTGTTATTTGCTTGAAAGCTTTGTGTCCCTGCTTTGTGTCCCTATCTGTTCTAAAGCTCACTTCTAACAAATAAGTCTATTTATCCTTACATTTATGTTCGACAACCCATGCTTTTATGGCGCCCCGAAGGCTAGCTAGGCAGATAGCATTAGCGAGAGCTATTGTTTGCTAACACCATATGTGCCATTGTTTACGTTCAGTTTGTCTTTTCTATAGTTGTTGTTGCTATTTATAGTATTGTGCTGCAGTAGTTTGTGGAATTTACAAGTCATGTTTCTGTTCTAGATGATTACATTGGGACTAGCGAGGAGGAACAGTTCCGAACAACGTCCTCTGCATCAACAGCACAAACCGAGGAGGAGACTATCTGGCCCTGCAGGAACGGCAACTGGCCCAGCAGAATCAATGCCATGTCTTATCTTATTGCTTGTTGATAAATAATTGCACCCACCAGCGATCACACAGAAAGATGGCATCATCTAGGCGTCCCTCTGCAGTCAGAAATATCATAAACACCATCGTCCACAAAGCACTGTACAGGGGTTTATGGATTTAAGAGAATACTTATCACAGTGAAACCTTTATCATCTGTTGCAATTAAAGCAAATAAGAGAATAAATACTTGGTTAAATAATACATTTTAACTCTTTAGCAGGACAACTCTGCATACTGTTTGAAATTGAGTTTGCTAGCTTGAGGTCCTCCTCTAAAACATAACATTACATAATGGTATTAAGAATACATGATAAATACATGTAGTAAAAATTACTCAATTGTAATACCCTCGTTGTGCTAGACTCAAACACATTGCTTATATATTTCAAAGAGAAGAGAACAAAAGAAAACACCTATACAAAGAGAGCGGTGCACAGCGCTTAATATTTACTTGCACTATATTTCTGTTGATCTGGGTTATTGTGTTGCACTGTTGGAGGAGCCTGTGACCTAAGATGTTCATTGTCATAACTACACTAGCTATGTTCGTATGACAAAATAAAAAACCTTGAGGCTGTGTCTTTCAGACAAACCATCATAATCATATTATTTTATGCTGTGGATACTTTAGCCTCCATCCATGTTAACAATTTTTTACACTTGCATTTATGAATATAGTTCTGTTGTGTTTTACACTTTTGTATTTATGTTTATAGTTTGCTTTGATATTTGCTTAATTTATTAGATTATTATTATTATGGGGGCAGTACTGGTGCTTGAAATTCAAATATTTACTAAATAGTCAATTCTGATAACATTTTTTTGGTTTAAATAATTTGACAAACACATGTATGTGAAAAAGAAAAGATGTATTTATGTTCAATACAATACAATGAATATTTAGGTATTACTTTATACATTCTAGGTATTCAGGTAGCGCATCAGACCCTCTCGTATGTCCCTGCCCTCCTCTGCACCTTGTGCCACTGCTACCCCTGGTAGACGTAGGTTTTCCTCAGGCATCCTGAAGTTCTCCACCCACTGAGTGTGTGAAAGATGGAACAATCACATTCCACCACTCGGTAGCTCGGTCGGTAACTTCTGAAATACACAAACAAAAGCATACATATTTTAATACGTAAAAGTGGTAGCTACAATTAATTAAATACTTGAAATACTTTGGTCGTATAGGGAGCGTGAGCCTAAACACATTGCTAGTTAGCGAACGTTAGCTTACCAAGTAGCATTGTAGTTGGTAGTGATTCGAGTCGTCCTGTAGTCTCTGCGGCGTAGGAGGACTGCCCGAACTCTCGCGTCAGCTTCTTCTATACCTCGTCTTGCTATAAGTCGCCTCTTTCGAAACAACTCTTGTCTATTTCTTGTGATAATAAACCACACAGCAAAAAACAAGCAAACGATCGCTTTCACATCTTCACATCCTCCATTGTTGTGTCGCATTGAAGATGACGTCACGGCAGTTTTAAGCAGCGTCGCTCCGCCTATACTGCGTTACTATAGATACTACCCCAGTTCCTAAACTGTAATGGAAACGCGCCATAAAGTGAGCTGGTCCTAACGAGGCCAATCGCGGCCCAGCCATACCGAGCGGGGCCGAGCGAGGCCGTGTAGTGGAAACGCGCCAAAAGATGGCTATGCCAACTGACTTCAAACATCCAATGATTCTACTTAAACATTCTCGTATTTCCAATTTGATACTAAGCCACATACATCATCAAGTTGGTCACTCAGGTCACATGCTCTCCAAACTCCTTCAACGTCACTGGCTATCAGCTGCAAACTCTTCAGCCAGGAGGCAGGTGCAATAGCTTGCTGACCTGTTTTGGAAGCGCTGGACCAGGGAATACCTTCCTTTGATGCAAGAACGGCTCAACTGGAATACTATCAAAAGAAACTTCACCCCCGGAGACCTGGTCGTCATCGTTGATGAGAACGCACCGAGGAACACTTGGCTCCTGGGACGTGTAGTTAAGACCCTTCCTGATTTCTTTATGAATTATTCTCGCGCAATTTGAATTAATCCAAAGTATTTGTTTTTATTTGCTTTTACACATTTAAAAAGAAAAGGTGAATAAAGAAGCACATTAAAACTAAAGTATCAATGTATGTCACATTTAATCAACTAGTGCAGGGGTACTCAAATACAAATGTTAAAGGTCCAAAAAAAAATTTTCAATAAGACAAAGGTCCGTTTATTACGGTCATTCAAACCTTTAAACAATTGCAACAAGATTCTTAACACGAGGTTGCAAAAACAAAAATAATCTGTATGCAGCAGTTTCCCTCTTTCATTCAGCATTCCCATTATTGCTTTATAAATGTCTTGCCCCCGTGTGTGTCCACTGAGGTTCGTCAGGCCCAACACATCTTCAACAAACTCCCCCTTTGCCTCATCATAAAAACTCACAAACACCAGCAACTGAGCTGTGTCAGTGGTGTCAGTGGACTCATCCACAGCTAAGGAAATGCACTGTGCATTTTGTATTCCATCACAAAGCTGATTAATCAAATCACCAGCCAGTATTTATGTTCTCCTGGTTGCTGTGGAATCTGAGAGGGGGATTTGCTTGATTTGACCTGTTATTTCCTCTTTTTGTTTACCTTCAAACATGGTCTCCATCACTTCAGTCATGCATTCTTTTATACTTCAGTTATTATCCAGTGGAAAGCCCTTACCTACTAGCCTAGTTAAATGAAAGTGGTTACTTTTTTTTGGCTGGGCAGTGGGCAGTGTAGTTTTACACACCGTCTTATTTGACTTTCTCAGGACTTAAAACTGTTTTTGGGGGCAGACCCCACAAAGAAAACAATATATTTACACACGTAAGGTCATCATCTTAACAGTTTTGTATGCTCATCCGTGAGCAGAGCATCAAGTTGACATGTCTATTACAGCTGAATGCGGCGATTACCATTTTGTTCAGCAAAACGCCTCACAAACGTATTAAGATCCAAAGCTTTAGTGCGTTTTGATTCAATGCTGAGTACAGCCACACTGACAGTCTCTTCTCTGTCATTGTAGACCGCAAATACCTCATTCCTTCAGTACTTGGGTCCGAATGCTTCTCGTTTTGCGCCGTACCGTTCAAATGAAATCGCCAATCATATTTCCACGCTCGCGCCAGGGCCGGGGGAGGGGTTACAAGACGTGCATCTTGTGCTGCATTCACTTGCATTTGGACATTAGAGACTTTCTCTCATAAATGCCCGATGAGCCACAACTTTTCTTTCAAAACAAAGCTGCCAACTGGGGTGGCAGCTGGGGTGGCAAGGCCTATTTTTAGGGTGGTAGTTGCCACCCCATGCCACCCCGGTAGGTGAAACTAGGCTACTAGCTACAGTACAGATGCAGCTAGATGAGCTGTTAACTCTCGCTCTGACTCAGACAGGTTGAAAGAGACACACGCATTTTTCCCACCCGCTTTCCGTGAAGACCCGCCCTACTGTGCCTCTGATTCGCAGACTGTTGGTGGGGGGGGGAAAACGCTGACGGGATGCTGAATGTGATTGGACCATAGCGTTGACAGACACACACAGACAGTGGAACAGTCTGACATGCAGAGCGCTGTTTGCAGTGGACATACCGGAGAATTTTGACTCGTTGCGTTGTGGCGATGTCTCACAGATAACACAGATAATACAGATAATACATATGAAAAGTATAATTTGCTCAGAGTCCAGAGACAGTTGTGGTTCGGTCCGGATCCGGACCGGAGTCCGGACTTTGAGGATGCCTGAACTAGTGCATACATGCATGGGTAATATTTAAATCAGTAAATTAAATAGCATATTATTCAATGTATGTATTTTTCTAAATATATTTATTTTGGTAGGTTTGCTCTTCCGTAATAATTATAATAATGGAGTATTTTCACAGTGTGGTGTTTGTACTTTCACTTCAGGATGTACTACCTGCAGCACGTGCTGATAAAGGGTCTAAAGCAGGGGTGTCAAACTCAATTTCATCACGGGCCACATCAGCATTATGGTTGCACTCAAAGAGCCGGTTGTAACTTTAAGACTATATCATTAATTAATATAACTTCATAATTAACTACGTCTGAAAGCAGA